TCTCTGTGCCCTTTCTGCGGCTTGGGCTCTTTCGGCGTCCCTTTCTGGGTCTCCTGGGTCGGGCAACTTGCTTTGCTGTTCCACACAAACCGCCAGCACTAATGCGTCCTTGGCAGAACTCTCCGAGGAAGTCTTAAGCTTTTCAAGCTCTGCCTGCTTCTGGTCGGAGTCCTGGCATGGGAACAAGCAGCAGCAACAGTGCGAACTGGTTTTTAAACCCCACGCAAAGCGGAGCTTCGCCGCGAATCCTTGGCTCCCTGTGTCCTTCTCTGCGGCTCTTTCGGTGTCCCTTTCTGGGTCTCTTGGGTCAAACAACTTGCTTTGCAAGTCCACACAAACCGCCGATACGAATGCGTCCCCGGCGGAAGGAGACACCACAACCGGCGGTTGGAAATCACCACGATGAAACTCGCTAGGCTCCTCGCAGGCTTGCCAAACAGAATAAAAGTAAAGAAACCAAACTTCAGCCGTGACTTCAGCTCCTTGGCTTTCCGTGCCCTTTTCTTAGGCTCTGTTTGCTTCTGGCTGGAGTCCTGGCATGGGAACAAGCAGCAGCAACAACAGTGCGAACTGGTTTCTAAATCCCACGCACAGCGAAGCTTCGCCGCAAGTCCTTGGCTCTTTGTGTTCTTCTCTCTTTCGGTGTCTCTTTCTGCGTCTCCTGGGTCGGGCAACTTGCTTTGCTATTCCACGGAAGCCGCCGACACGAATGCGTCTTCGGCGGAAGTAGGTGCCCTTCTCTCTTTCGGTGTCCCTTTCTGGGTCTCCTGGGTCGGGCAACTTGCTGGCTTTGCTATTCCACAGAAGCCGCCGACACGAATGCGTCCTCGGCGGAAGTAGAGGCAATCACCACGATGAAGCCCGCTAGGCTCCTCGCAGGCTTGCCAAACAGAAAAAAGCTCGTGAAGTTAAGCTTCTTTGGACGAGAGAAACTCTTTCGGTGTTGGCATGAAAAGCAAAAATCAAAACAACAAAACGCTGCTGTATTGGTTCTATTCCTCACGAGTATCGCCACTATACGTTCTGCGAAACATCTTCGCAGCGTTGTGAGCAACACACTCACTGATGCGGCTGGTGGGGCAGGCCTGGGTCGGGGAGCTTGCTGTTCGTATTCAAGCACACTCTACCACGAGCGCGTCCTCGGCAGACTTCTTGCGCCTCTTGGAGGAGCTGGAGCTGGGCTCTGCGGAGTCCTGAACAGCAGCGCGGTCTGGTTTGCCATGAAAAAGCGAAGCTTCGCCGCGAGTCCTTGGCGTTCCGTGCCTTTCTCCGCGACTTGGGGTCCTGGGTGTTGGGGAGTTTGCTTTTGTGTTCCACACACAACTCACGAACACCAATGTGCTCTGACGGGATTGGGAGAACAAACAGTTCATGCCTGGTGCGACCAAAGAACCGCTGTTCGCTCAAACACTTCATACAGTGTCTGTCTGTGCCATGCGAACACATGGACAATGAGGCAGATGATGTTGATGAGGATGAAGATCAGGATGAGGATGAGGCTGAGAAAAAAAGCAGGAAGTCATGGATGCTGGCGACAGTTTGATGATACAATCCCCATCCATGCCCGTAGAGCATCCATGTGCCAAACATGATAACGTCCAGATCACAGCCCATCCATGCCCGCAGAGCATCCATGTGCCAACCATGATAACGTCCAGATCAGACCCCATCCATGCCCATAGAGCATCCGTGTGCCAACCATGATAACGTCCAGATCAGACCCCATCCATGCCCGCAAAGCATCCATGGTAGCAACCATGATAACGTCCAGATCAAACCCCATCCATGCCCGCAGAGCATCCATGGTGGCGAACATGATAGCGTCCAGATCAGACTCCATCCATGCCCGTAGAGCATCCATGTGCCAACCATGATAACGTCCAGATCAGACCCCATCCATGCCCGCAGAGCATCCATGCGCTAACCATGTTAACGTCCAGATCAACCCCCATCCATGCCCGCAGAGCATCCATGGTGGCAACCATGATAACGTCCAGATCAGACCCCATCCATGCCCGTAGAGCATCCATGTGCCAACAGACCCCCATCCATGCCCGTAGAGCATCCATGTGCCAACCATGATAACGTCCAGATCAGACCCCATCCATGCCCGCAGAGAACCATGATAACGTCCAGATCAGACTCCATCCATGCTCGTAGAGCATCCATGTGCCAACCATGGTAACATCCAGATCAGACTCCATCCATAGCATCCATGGTGGCACCCATGATAACGTCCAGATCAGACCCAATCCATGCCCGCAGATCATCCACGTGCCAACCATGATAACGTCCAGATCAGACCCCATCCATGCCCGTAGAGCATCCATGGTGGCAACCATGATAACGTCCAGATCAAACCCCATCCATGCCCGCAGAGCATCCATGTGCTAACCATGATAGCGTCCAGATAAGACCCCACCCATGCCCGCAGAGCATCCATGGTGGCAACCATGATAACGTCCAGATCAGATCCCATCCATGCCCGTAGAGCATCCGTGGTGGCAACCATGATAACGTCCAGATCAGACCCCATCCATGCCCGCAGAGCATCCATGTGCCAACCATGATAAGGTCCAGATCAGACGCCATCCATGCCCGCAGAGCATCCATGGTAGAAACCATGATAACGTCCAGATCAAACCCCATCCATGCCCGCAGAGCATCCATGTGCTAACCATGATAACGTCCAGATCAAACCCCACCCATGCCCGCAGAGCATCCATGGTGGCACCATGATAACGTCCAGATCAGACCCCATCCATGCCCGTAGAGCATCCATGTGCCAACTAACCATGATAACGTCCAGATCAGACCCCATCCATGCCCGCAGAGCATCCATGGTGGCAACCATGATAACGTCCAGATCAGACCCCATCCATGCCCGCAGAGCATCCATGGTGGCAACCATGATAACGTCCAGAGCAAATCCATCCATGCCCGCAGAGCATCCATGTGCTAACCATGATAACGTCCAGATCAGACCCCATTCATGCCCGCAGAGCATCCATGGTGGCAACCATGATAACGTCCAGATCAGACCCCATCCATGCCCGTAGAGCATCCATATGCGCCAACCATGGTAACGTCCAGATCAGACTCCATCCATGCCCGCAGAGCATCCATGTGCCAACCATGATAACGTCCAGATAAAACCCCATCCATGCCCGCAGAGCATCCATGTGCCGACCATGATAACGTCCACCATGCCCGCAGAGCATCCATGTGCCAACCATGATAACGTCTGGATCAGACTCCCTCCATGCCCGCAGAGCATCCATGGTGGCAACCATGATAACGTCCAGAGCAAACCCCATCCATGCCCGCAGAGCATCCATGCGCTAACCATGATAACGTCCAGATCAGACCCGATCCATGCCCGCAGAGCATCCATGGTGGCAACCATGATAACGTCCAGATCAGACCCCATCCATGCCCATAGAGCATCCATATGTGCCAACCATGATAACGTCCAGATCAGACTCCATCCATGCCCGTAGAGCATCCGCGCGCCACAACCATGATAACGTCCAGATCAAACCCCATCCATGCCCGCAGAGAATCCATGCGCCGACCATGATAACGTCCAGATCAGATCCCATCCATGCCCGCAGAGCATCCATGTGCCAACTATGATAACGTCCAGATCAGACCCAATCCATGCCGGCAGAGCATCCCCGGAGTCAATAGTCTTTCGCAAGCTTTTCGCACCTTTAAAGCTTATCATTTGGATAAGCTTGCTGCTGATCCTTACGAGCTGCAACACTGCGAAAGTGCCGCGCAGTATTTGCGTGGAGCTCCTAAGGCCGTGCCTGCGGCACAACGCCCGGTTCGAGAGAAGTTTAGGGATTCGGGTTCACGGCTGGCCTGCCGCCTCCAATGTTCTGGAGGAACTGCCTGTCGGACACCCCCCGGGTAGCAAGACGGAGCGAGTCTAGTCCCTGTGGAGTCTGCAGGGGAACTCCGCGGGCTCAATCCCCAAGCCTGTCATTTGGGCTCCTCCAGACCTGGAATCGAAAGCTTTGGCGCCAGAAGTAGCCGCAGATTGCGAGGTCGCAGGAGGGAGCTTGCAGTTGTTGCAGGGGCTCGTCGCAGGGAGCAGATTGCAAGGGCAGGTTGCAATCCGGGTGCGCCACAAAGTTGTGAACCTTTAAAGACCCTCATGATATGACTGAGATGGCGAAGATGATGGTCTTGAGTCTTGAACCATGATGATGATGAGTGTGTGATTGCATGTGCAGTAACAGCGGAGTGACGAGTGACAAACACCGCTTCACAGTGCGAAACAAAGCTTGCAGAATGAGAATGTCCTCAGAGCTGGCTTCCTGGGACGTCACTGGTGCGGTAGGGCTTCGAGGGCGCACCTCGGAAGGTGCACCCATTGACTGCGACCTTCCCGTCTCTGAGCGGGCCTCTGGTGTCCTCGGGCTCGGGAAAGGCGCCACTTCCAGGTCAACCACCTCCACGGACTGCACTCTGACTGCAAGTGTTTGACTGTAAGCGTTTCTCTTTTCCAGGAGGCCTCTGCATGAAGCGGGTCATCGTTCGGATCAAAGGCGTCATCATGAACCTGTCAGAACCGCTTCCCCAAGTCTCCGATATTGGTTCTTACCGGGCGCACCTGGTAAAACCAAGCGCAATTGGTAAAACCAAGCGCAGATCGATTTCCCGAAAAAACCAAGCGTGCAAGATCAATCTCGGGGCCAAGGAGGATCAAAAGAAAAAGCCAAATATCAATATTTGCTCCTGAGAGAACCAAGCGTGAGAAGCGAAAAAATCAAGAGCGACACACGGAGTCGAGAGAGAAAGGATCGAGAAGCAAGCTTGAAATGTGTGTGTGTGTATGTATATATATATATATATATATATAAATATATATATATATATATATATATATATATTATACTGATAATTTCTATTTATTTCGGGCTGACCTGTCTACCTAGCGGTCAGGACTTTGCAGTCCGGGGTCACAGAAAGCAAAACAGCAATGTGGCTTTTCAAACTCGCAAAGCCAGATCCAAGGTCATCGCAACTTCTAGCTTCTCCGCCATTCCAAAGGGCATGTGGAAGGTAGGCGACCCTCGCAAGCAGGTGCTACCAAGATCTGCAATGGTTCCCACATAGTCTTCACTCCCATAACACCAAACAAATCGAGGGTTGAGGAAACGAGCTTGCCCGGCCAGCTCAGCACTATAATGATGTTTAGGGACCATGGACCATAAGCACTTGCCATCAGCAACAGCTTGGGCAGCCAACCACTGGTAGCTCTGCAAAGCACGGTTCAAGGAAGTGAAGGCTTTCATGCCTTCGGAGCCGCTTGGAATGATGGCAGCAGTGTAAAGAAAGTCGTAAAACTGGTCGAGGAATTTCATGACGGCCTTCATGTGGCGATCCTGCTCGGAGTCCCCGAAGAGCTGTTCCACGAGCAGGCGTGCCACAGGCACTAAACATCTCACCTGTGCAGCCTTCACATGCTGCAGACAAGGGTAGGTCGTGCTCAAGGCCTTCGGGTTCGTCAAATTGGTCATGGCGAAACTGGAGAGGGGCTTGCCGTGATCGCTCTCTCGCTGGTGACTCTGGATGAAGTTCCACAATCTTCGAAACTGCCTCTGTCTGTTTCCTATCAGCAGGAAAGCATAGAAGACGTTGCCAATGATGTGCTGTCATGCCCAGGTCTAACACGTGCAAGATGTCCAAGCAAAGAGATTGAATGCGAACTCCCGGGGCCTTAAACATTGGATGCTTGAGCTCCTGCTGGCACTCATTTCGGCTGCTTCGCCAAGCTGCTCTGTTACCGACATCATTCCAGGGCTTGTCCGAGCGATTACCGCCAGGTTGTTCTGAAATTCCTCCATGTCACCCATGTAGCCATAAAGGATGGCAAAAAAACCGTCCTTGAGAATCGGCTTGCCCGCAAGAGATTCAAGGGCAGGGTGAGCCTGTAGGCTCTTGCCTTCAGGATCTTCAGAAGGCCACCTGTTATGAAACAAGGCCTCCAAGCTCCAGACAATCCAGGTCCCGGCTTGGCTAGACAGCAATCCACGGAAGGAGCATGTCACCAGGGAGTCGTTGTTTTGGAAAGCTGCTCCATCGCTGTGGAAAAGCAAAGGGATGCATTTTTCCTTCCAGTTCTTGCGGAACATAGGATGATTTTGCAATCGAGGCTCCTGGTCTGGTCTCGCCTCAGACCAGAAACTCTTGATGTTCTCCGGGGTACCGAAAATGGACTGGAATATCAAAGGCTTCCAGAAGCTGCATCCACTGCGAAGGGAGCTTGACGGGAACTTGCCCGATGTCGTCTGCCTTGCTCTTTGGGTCCAAGCGTGGAATGGTCACAGCTGTGCTGCTGGGAACCAAACCCGTTTGAACCTTTCTGACGAGGTCTCTCTGGACATTCTGGCTTGCTCGTCCCCTGGCCCCCAAAGCAGCAAGCTCCTCCGTTGTTTCGTCTTGCAAGCCTGATTGCTCGGCAGCAACAGCGAGCTCCTGTAGATCCGGGGCACTCAATTTGCCCCATGCCCACTTTCGCAGCAAGGTGTGAGCGAACGGGGAAAGGCTTCTTGCCCATGCGATGGCATGGGCAATGGGGTCCGGCAGCAACTTTCGCTTCCCCATGCCTCCTAGAAACTGCTGCGTGGGGGCCTTATGAGGTTAAGTTATGGGCCTAAAACAAGTCTGACTTCAGAACTTTGGCAAGGAGTTTTCGCCAAGAGTTTTCTGTGGTACTGCTGACATGAAAAGTGCCGAAAAAACTTTAAGGCACCTTGCCTAGAATCTTCTGCCTGGGGGACTTAAGGTTATAAGTTCGAGCAAAAGGAAGTCTGACTTGAGAACTTCGGCGGGATAGGTTTCGCCAAGAGCTTTCTCTGCCAGTGCAGGCTCATGCAAGCAAGCTTCTTTTCTTCTACCCTTTCCTCTATGCTCTGTTGGCATGTCCCCAGATTCAAACTCAGATTCCAAAACTGCACCTATAGCTACATCTCTATCTCAGTCCATGTTCTCGATCGCTGCGAGCTCATCATCCAAAAGCCGAATCCGGTCGTCGACGTCGTCGAGGTGCCCCAAGACCAAGGTCACAGCATCATCTGGATTCTGTGGCTCGTGGTTCTCGGTGATCAACGAGTTCGCCATTTCCGTGGCCCTCGCAGCCATCTCCGAGAGCTGTTCGATCATCGCCAACACATGTGCTGAAAGCAGCTTCTTTGTTTTTTTTCTCTTCTTCTCGGCATGTTCGGGCGTCGTCTCTTCAACTTCTCGAGCCCTCTTCGGAGGTGTCTCCATGGCTCAAGGCTCCTAGGTGCTCAATATCTCCTTTGAGAAAATCGCTTCGATCGAGATATAAATCATTTAATTGCTGCCTGTCCAGGTATTGATTACTATGAAAACAACATGACAATATTGTCTGTCCAGACACATGTCCAGGCATTGAATGTACAGGCACAGCGTGCGATTTCGGGCATCTGCGTGCAGAATATTTTTTGCTTACGGGCCGCCTCGATCTTCTGCTCGGCATCTGCGTGCAAAATTTTTGCCTTCGGCGGCGTAGCCTGCCTAAGCGCTAGATTGGTTCGAACCAGACTCTGCGACTGGCGACGGGCCGCATCGACCTTGTGCTCGCCACCGCAGCCGTTCATCGTCCTGCCACTGATAGTGCTCCAGAACGCATTTGGGACACCAGTGCCCCTCATGATTGCCATGAAGCCGCACACAGCGATCACCGTGCTCAGCACGTTGTTCTTGGCATCGTTCTTCTTCTGGGTGGCCGGGGCAACAAAACGAGCCCATGATCACAAGCACGAGGCAGCAGGAGGCAAGGTTGCGATGCTCGAGCAGAAGCTATGAACACATGCGACTGCTTGCAAGCAAGCATGCACTCTATACGGTTGCAGGCAGCACAGGGCTAAGGCAAGCATTTTTTTCCTTCAGCGGCGAAAACTAGCTTGAGGTGGTGTGCGGGCCACACGTGCTTCAGATTTGCCCATGCCTACGATCAAAACCCAGCAAGCCGGAGGCAAAGCCTAAGCCTCTGGCAGATGCTGGCAAAACCGCAGAGGCCATGAGATCTTAAGATTGCAAAGATCGCCCCTCAGGCGAAGACCCTGCCATGGCTGGTCAAGCTGTTGCTGCAGTCGCGAAGGATCTCGGCGAGGCCAAGCAACAATTCCTGCATGGCCTCGAGCTTGAGCTTCTTGGAAACGAAGAGGCTCTTGCACTTGTCGCTGGCATTCTTCATGTTGTTGTGCAGGGTGGCAAAATCCTTCTTGACTTTTGGTATCCAGCTTGGACATCAAGCCATCCAAGAGGGTCTTGATGCCAGTGGCTTTGTTCCTGGCAGCATCGACGTCTGCCAAAGCATTGATCTCGTCGCAGAGCTTCTCGTAGGCCGATCGCTTCGTCTTGCCCTCCTTCTCCTTCTCGTCGCCCGGGTTCTGCTTGGAGCTGGAGCCGCCCCGAGCGTCTTCGATCTGCCCAGCAAACGACGAGAGCCCGGAGCCGGGTTGGAAGGTCGACCAGCAACCTTGCCATTGCTCCATCTCTTTGGCATCAGCTTCATTGCTGTCACCTTTCAACCCTTTGGCGACTCCTTGGCTCATACTGGATCGCTTGTCGAACGTTTTTGTTTCCCGGGTCTGGCTGGTGTCCAGATACTTCATCACTCCGGGGCACCTCGGATCCACTTTCTCATAAATCACAGCGGCATCCATCATGGCGTGGAAATCGCTTTCGTCGTACCGGTTGAGCAGCTCCTTCCAGGTCTCGGGCTTGAGCACGGTCTTGGACTTGTTCGACGAGACAATCTCCTGCGTGTACTTCTGGAAGCCAGGGCCGAACTTTGGGTCCAGCAGGAAGGCCACCAACAAGCTCCTCTTCTTTTTGTTGACCGAGGTGGGGCCAGAAGAAGTCGAAGCTTCCTCCCAAGCCTTTTGGCCTTCCTCGCTGCCCTTTATCGCCGTCTTTGCACGTCCATTGACCTCATCCAGGGAGAGGTCAGGGGCGGCAGACCTCTCCTCCGGGTTCGTCTCCTTCCACTTGGCAATCTTCTCATCGAGAGACATCTCCTGGACCGGGACAAGCTGGGTGTCCTCGTCCGGGTCGCTCGTGGCAGCCGAAGGCTTCTTAAAAGCGGCGGCTGCTGGCTTCTTCATGGCCGGCATCTGTGCAAGGAAAGCAGGACACTGGGGGCAGTTTTCGCAGATTGCTGAAGCTATCCGGCACAATGCACGATTCCACATGACGTCGCTGTTCAGCGTCTACGGCCTGATCAGTCACAAACTAAAACATCCTATGACCTACTGTCATGACCTATTCGGTCAGGTGAGTGAAAAAAGCATATGCATGTGCATGTGTACGAAGATGGTTCTACATACATACATACATACATACATACGTGTTTTGTGTATACATATATATATATATATATAAATATATATCCATGTATATATACATTTACACATAGTAGGTGTTTGGTGGTTTTGAAGGGTTGATAAGGGTTTTGGTGTTTCGGGTTTTAGGGTTGCACGTTTTGGTGTTCACGGTCTTGGGGTGTAGTAGGGCTAGACGGCCTGGGGGTTTAGGCCTGAAGTGTTCTAGGCGGCTCCTTGATTTAAGTGTGGTGGGGCTGCTGGGGTTGGCTAGGTGGGTGGGGGCTGGAACTGGTGCTGTGGCTGGGGCTGGAACAAGCTTTGAAATTGGGTTGGGGGGGGTGGGTGGGGGATGGGCGGGCTGGGGCTGGGGGCGGGGGGTGTGGGGCTGGCTGGGTGGGCCAGGGGGTGGGCGCGGGGGTGGGTGGGCTGGTGTGGGGCCCATGCCTGGCTTGGGTTGGGGGTGGGCCTTGCTGCGGGTTGGGTGGGCGGGTTTACTCAGTCTTTATTGGGGGGCGGCTGGGGGGCTGCTGGCGGGCTTGGGGGGGCGTTGGCTTGGTGCTGGGCTGAGTGGTGGGGGGCCTTGCTGCGGCTGGGCTGGGCTGCTGGCTTGGCTTGGGGGGGGTTGGGCGGGTTTTGGGGTAGTCAATCTTATTTTTTTCTTAATTTCACATAAAAATTAAGATAGAATCTTAAGTTTATCTTAATTTCAGATAAAAATTAAGATGATATCTTAATTTTATCTTAATTTTATAAAAACTTAAGATAAAGTTAAGATATCATCTTAATATTTATCTGAAATTAAGATAAACTTAAGATGGATCTTTTTTGGCAGTTGGTGGGTAGGTCTCAGGAGAAGGAGAGAAAGCAGAGATTTTGTGGGGTCGAGGGTGTTAGTGGCTGGTGTGGATGGGTGCGGGTGTGTGGGCGTCCGGGGGTGTGGGGGTGTGTTTGGGTGTGGGCGTGTGTGGGTGTGTGGGTGTGTGGGGGTGTGGGGGTGTGGGTGAATGGGGGTGTGTGGGTGTGGGGTGTGTGGGGGGTGTGGGTTTGGGTGGGCTGGGTGTGGGCTGTGTGGGTGTGTGGGTGGGTGGCTGGGCGGGTGGGCGGGTGGTTGGGTGTGTGGGTGGGTGGGTGGTTGGATGGGTGGCCCCCTAAACCCTATACCCTAAAACAAACCCTAACCCTAAACCCTTAAGCCCCCCTAAACCCTATACCCTAAACCCTAAAACAAACCCTAACCCTAAACCCTTAAGCCCTCCTAACCCCAAACCCCAAACCCTAAACCCTTAAGCCCTGATCCCTGTTTGTCCTCGGCTCGAACGAAGAAATCCCGGATCTCCACATCGTTTCCAAGAGCAGCAAGAGCTGGTACAACACCTGCGGCGGGCAAATGTGATTCAACATCATAGCTCGCACACAAGCTGCACTCGATCCTGAAGCGGTCGGATGACCTTTCGGTCAAGCTTTCAAACTCTGCAATCATTCACTTCACTTTTGCATGCTGTTGGAAGCAAAATCCACCCCTCAAAGGCCGTATTCGCCAGCACAGGCGGCGATGCGTCGGCGACGGAAGATTTGAAATCTTGGACCAAGCGGTCCTCCTCGATCTTATGATTTTCAACAAAGCTTCTCAATACACTTTTTATTAGTTTTATTCCCAGAGGAGGACCGGCCGATCACATGGTGTTGGGCTCGCCAGAAGGAGGCTCGGCAGCATTCATTTCATCACCAAGGTGTGCTGCCCTGGCTTGGGCAGCTTCCTGCTCCAGCTCGGCACGATGCATATCTGTGTTTCGCAGCTGGCTCATTGCTTCCGCTGCAAGTTCGGACTCGAGCTTGGCCTGCTTTTCGGCTTCATGAAGCTCTCGCACCATGGATTTGAACTGGTCCTCGTAGACCTTGCTTTCGGCAGCATGCTCCTCGTGCTGGAGGTGGGCGAGCTTCTCCAAACCAGCATACGTGTCCTGCAGCTTTTGAGCCTCAGCTTCGGATTCTGACAGCAGCTGCTGGTTCGTGGTGTACTCCTCCTGGGCAGATGCCAGTTCCGTCTTTAGCTTCTGCTGCCATTCGTGGCTTTCCAATTCCCCTCGTCCTTTGTACCACTGCCAGCTGAAAAAGTTTTTTTTTTTGCCAATTGGGCAAATTGCACCACGACTTGGCTTCTTTTTCAAGTTTGGCATACTGGTTTTGGCCCTTCGCCACCTCCTCTTCGCATGTTTGCAGCTCCACAATTAGCTGTTCGTGCTCGTGCTTGCTGCCCCAATTCCATGAGGGCGGTTGCGATATCCGGCACAGGCATCGAGGATGGCGGCATACTCCCTGGCTGCGGTGGCGGAGGCATCTGCTGCGGCGGATTCGCCGGCGGAGGCATGTGCGGAGGCATCTGCTGCGGCATATTCGCCGGCGGAGGCATGTGCTGCGGCATCTGCTGTGGCGGATTCGCCGGCGGCGGAGGCATTTGCTGCTGCGGATTCGCAGGCTGCTGCGGCGGAAATGCCCGAGGAGGCGTCTGCGGAGGCATCGGCTGCGAAGGATTCGCCACCGGATACTGCATTGGTGGCGGCACAAACGAAGGCGGCGGTGTCATTGGAGTCATCATCGGCTGAGGGGGCTGCTGCACAGGTGCAGGCATGCCTTGAATCCCTGCATTGGCTGCTGCATCGGCATCGCAGGAGGCGGCATCTGCATGGGCTGCTGCATCTGCGGGGGCATTTGCTGCACAGGCCCAGGCATGCCTGCAAAGCCCTGCGAACCGCTAGCTTGCGGGCCATCGCCGGTCCGCAAGTGCCCCAAAAGCATGTGGGCGACATTGGCCGCCAGCTCGCTTTGCTTCTCGCTTTCCTTCCATTGTTGGAAAGACATCCTCGTTCCCGAGGCAAGCCAGGCATCACGTTCATCCTGACGTGCATTGCGAGCATTGGTGCCACCCCAGTGGTTGTAGGGCACCCAGCGGCCGTCGCTGGACTGGCCCCACCACTTCTGATCACGATGAGCCATGGCAAGGGCTGGCTGGCTCCTCAAGTTCTGCTCCTTCAAACACAGCAAAAAGCCGCGGCAACATCGGAGCTTCTGATAGGTCAAACTTCCAAGCATGTCTTCTTCATGTGCAACTCTGACCCCAGACATAGAGGTTGCAATAGCCACTCTGGCACTATGACCTTAAGTTCCCCAGACACACAGGTTGCAATAGCACTTCTGGGCTCTATGATTTCCCCAGACACACAGCTTCCAATAGCATCTCTCGGCACTATGACCTTTCGGTCAGGACCTTTCGGTCCGACAACTTCGCCCTTTGCAGCGAGCAGGCCTTCATTGCAAAGAAGTGAAGTGCTTGGCCAACGGAAAGCTGGCCATCCCGCGAAGACGATCTTGCTGATTTGCAAGTCCTGTGTTGGCAGGCAGAATTAGGGTTTGGGGTTCAGGGTTTAAGATTTAGGGTGGCAACAAACGGAAACCCTAAGCCCTAAAACCCTGTATGTATTGATACATACATATATACAACAATGTATGTATCAAGACACTACACCGTTTGTTTTGTAAGTAGGAGTTCCGGGGGAGAACACTGCGAATACTGCACTGACGGATTTTGATTCGCAGTTCTTGCGTCGATTTCGTCTAGTCGATAAGAAAATTTCGCATCTGGAGGGCCCTCTCTCCACTGCGGGGCTTGTCTTCCAGAATGGCTCGAATCACAGCCTTGTGATCCCGGCTTGTCCCCTTAGTGCAGTTGACCAGAAGCTTAAACTTTCCGGTCGCAGGACACTTATACTGCAAGTACGACTTCTCGGTTGCATAAGTGGCCTTGTACTGAACTCCCTTTGGGAGAAGCTTTGTGGCACTGGACGAGCTCTCAGGGCCTGGTGCGGATGTACTGGCGGCTGCAGGTCGCTTCATCTGCTTGGCTGCCGGCTTCTTCAGAGGCTTCTCGGAATCCTCGCCAGACTCCCAGACTGCCTTGATTCGATCCTTGCTGGTGGGAACCTTGGGCAGCGACTCGCAGGGACTCAGCTCGCTGACCAAGTCCTGTGTCAAAGGGACCTCCTCTTCTTGCTGTGGCAAGATGTCACCCAAGCAATCCTGCTCCATCTCGTGAACCAAAGCAAAGTTCGGCTTCTGCACCTCCGGCTTCTGAACCTCCGGCTTCTGCACCTCCGGCTTCTTCAAGATTGACTTCGGTTTTGCCTGCTTCTTTGCCGGCTGGTCGAGCTCATCCTCGAGCAAATCCACCAAGCCCTGCAAAACCGTGATGCCAGGATCGCTCATGCTCTGAATCGCTTGGCTCCAGCGAATGGGCTGTTGCAGACGACGAAGATGACCCAGAATCACGGTGAAGCGATCGGACCACTCCTGACCGAACCTTTTCAAGTCCGCCTTGTTCTTCTTGCACACGTGGTACTTGCAGCCCAAATTGACCATGACTTGCTCTACGTGACTGGAAAGCAATCTGCCCTGAGGATTCCTCAGCAAATGAAAGATGACTCAAACTTTACGCCCTTTTCAGGGTTAAGGGTTGCCCTTGGACCTCGGATAAAAAAAACTGGAACGAGGTTCACTGCCAGCAAAACCCGGAGCAAGCCCTGGATCTTCACCAGGCCCGCACCACGAACGGCAAACGTAGCCGGAAGCGACTGGTAGCAGCCCTTAAGTCCAGGGCAGCCTCCACACCGACTTTGCGGATGTACTCGTCCAGCGACTGCTCCAAGTCGTCCAGGGAGTACTGCTTCACCGGCTGCTTGATGGTCGGCGAGCCCTTCTTCTTGGCGGACTTGAGAGCAGCTGCCCTGGAAGCCATGCTCGCAGCTCGCCAAGTTACTCCTACCTTAAGCCCGGCTCGAAAACTGCAGGCCGGCACAGCTGGAATAAACGAACGGTTCAAAGTGCAATCATGCTTGTGCGTGCCTTCGCAGAGCAACAACGAGAACAAATATTTTCTGCAACGTGTTGCATGCAGTCCCGCATGTGGCGGCGAAAGCAAATTCGTGCCTACACGGCCTGTACACTCGCTCAGTGACTCGAAAGGCGTCGCTTGCGGCCTTCAGGGCATTGCCGTGCTTGCATGCAGCATGCTTCTTCGTCCTAGCCTCGAGGCTGCTCATCCGCTTTAAGCTCCGGATTCTCGGATACAGGGGGTGCAGATGCAGAGGTCGTCGTCTCGTGGCGAATGAACCACTTCCACCACCAGACCCTGCAGGCAGTTTTCAATGACTACTTCTGCTAGAAGTACTGTTTAGATGCCGAGGAGAAACGTTTCTCCCTTTACCACATCGGCCATCCAGCACCACCGCCATTCGGCTCGCTGCACAGGCGAGCGAGATCGCCCATTAGGGCTGGCCTTTCCAAGTCTAATGAGACAAATCTTAACACAAAATCTTCAAAAGCACATGCTTTTCACAGCCTGACGTCCTCGTCGCATCGCGATCTAAAGGTGCCAGGGCTTGCTCCAAAACAAACGGCTTCAGCGTGCATATGGTTGTTGCCTTCACAGCAGCTCACGGGCTGTCGAGGCTAAGCTTCGATCCTAGGACACGATCGAATGAGTTGCAGGAAATTGCAACTGCACCATGTCCTGCAGCCGTAGGAAAAACTTAGGGTTATGTCTATATCTATATGTCTAGACAGGTATAAAAACCAAAATATACATATATATATATATATATATATATATACAAACAAATATGTATTATATATATATATATGTGTGTGTGCATATATATATATATATATATATACATACATACATATACGTATTTGTATTTTTGTGGGTGGGTGGGTTGGTGGGTGGGCGGGTGGGAGGGTGGGTGGGCAGGTGGCTGGGTGGGTTGGTGGCTGGGCGGCTGGGTGGTTGGCTGGGAGGGTTGTATGTATGTATGTATGTATGTATGCATGCATGTATGTATGTATGTATGTATGTATATATATATATATATATATATATATATGTCTGTGTGTGTATGTGTATGTTAGATTAGATTACATTTCCAGGTCTGTAAGTGTGAGTGTGTATATGTATGTGTGTCGTGTGTATCTTTGTGTATGTGGTGCAGAAAACTGAGATTGATAAAACCAAGCGCAAGACAGTTTAAAACCGAGAGCGAGTTGAGCAAAGATCGATATTTTGCAGCAGGATATCAAATCTACTTGAGATTGGAAAAACCAAGGAACCAAGCGTGCAAGATTGGTAAAACCAAGCGCAACATAAAACCAAGCGCAGATCGGTAACCGTTTCAAGATTGGTAAAAACCAATATCGGAGACTTGGGGTTGTTTCGATCATGGAATGCGAAGGAAGCAGGGGAAGTTTGTCTCGTAGCTGTTACATTGCACACGAATCGCATGCTTTTTGCCAAGAGCAGCACAGAACTCCCTTGCGCGTTGTAGAAGCCACTGCCTTCGGCAGACAAGTCGGAACACACAAAGGGCCAAGAGACTCCTCCGCCTTAAGTCTGCAAGCCTGTCGTTCTGTCGCCGGGGCTTCCGCCGACGAATGTCTCAAAGCCAAGCCTCGCTCGCTGGGCAGCTCCCTGGCAAACACGAATCTCAACGGTTCGGCCAGCTTCGAAGAAGTCGCATGTAAGAGCGACGAACTGGAAAAGGTGCATTACTGGCATTTGCGTCGCCGTTTGCGTGGGCGGTCTTGCCAAGCTTCGTCGTCCGACTGCAAAAGAGCCGAGAGTTTCTGCAGCAGTCGGCAGCACTTTGGGAACGTCTTCGCGCAAGCCATAGAACACTTCGCAATGCCACTGGTGGTACCAACAGCTGCAGACAAAGCTCGTGCTGTCACGCGCCGGCTGCCAACACAGCGCCCACGTGTACCAGTACTGCTCAAACTTCTCGGGCGAGAACCGATGCTTCGCGGTCTCTGGCGCATCTTCTGGACACTCGAGGATTCCGAGCTCGAGCAAGTATTTCAGCAGATGCTCGACATGTCTGATTTGAAGTTGAGTTGCCATTGTCTTGGCAACTCCGGGAGAGACCGCAACGGGCTTGTAAAGCCCCAGGGCAACGAACCGCAACTTCGGGCCTTGGTACACGTCCATGTATTTGGAATTGCGGCGCCTCATGCGTCCCAATATCGTGGGAATCGAAGCCATGAAGTTAGCTTTCCTGAGACTGATTGCGCACACTCTTTCGTTTATGAACTTGAAGATTAAAACAGAATCGAAAATTTGCCACCGTGCTAAGAAACTTGCCAAAAAGGTCGACAAACGGACTTGCCTTTTTGCCACATCCAGTCACTGGGAGTGTCCGGTTTCCCAGACCGAACATCCCTTCCCATCAGTGTGACGGGCTTCTTGCTTCTGTCGGCACAAAAAGCATGGTCGTGGACAAAGTCTGTACTGCTTTGGCAAATTTTTGCACAAGCTCGACGTGGGTTGTAACAGGCCCTTGTGCACGGAGCTGGCGCTTGGCAATGGCGTTCAGACTCTCAGATGGTTGCTGGCTGGGAGGCAAGCGCGCATATCTTCCAATGCCGACCCACCATCTGGCGCCCCAGAAATGTTCCGTGCCATCGATGCTGCTGTCAGAAGCACGAACACGGATCATGTATCGCTGAATGAAATATTGCAAAACCTCCTTTTCCTGCCGCGCGAATTCAACTCTCTTGACGATCGTCTCAGCCACGCAGTGGAAAAACTCGCGTCGGACACCAGGCTAAATAATCGACCAGCTTCAGGAATGCCCACACGAAACGTTTCTTCAAGTGTGGAGGCAGTTTCGCTTTGCGCTTGGCCTTCGGCTTCGCTTTGGGCCGGGTCCTTTTGCTTTTCCGTGCAGGTGTGGGAAGACCGTTGCAACTGTCTCCGAGCCGCATTGTCGTTTTTCAACAAGTTGCGTCGCAAATGCCAAAGGTCTTGCACGTGCGCGCATCGCGGCCACTTGGATGTAGCTGCCTCTCCGGAGCCAGAAAAATAATCAGTGGATATCACAACCGGATCCGGGAGTTCGTAGCGCTTTAGAGCTTCACACAGAACATCGAATCCCAATTTGTAGCCGCGGCCACCAGAGGCCATGGTGTAGCTCTCCAGTTCTTCTGAAGCTCGCGTCGGACAACGCAGGCGATGAGGCCCATGCCTTGAATTCCCAGAAGGAAAACGCACATGCACGTTCCTTGCCTCACGAAACGTCCACTGAAAGAAATCTAACCGGCCTACTATTCCGGGGCTGGCGATGGAATGAACACAAAGAAGGCTGTTTTCGGTACTTTCGCACCGCCAAAAACGCAAAATAGGCTTCCTTTGGGTTTAGTTTATTGCCACCTACTTGAATTCCGCTTTGCTTCCCGCTCTTACAAGGAATAAACGCAAAGAAGGTTGTTTTCGGTGGTTTCGCACAGCCAAAAACGCAAAACAGGCTTCCTTTGGGTTAATTGCCCCCTACTTGAATTCCGCTTTGCTTCCCGTTCTGACAAGGAAAAAAACGCAAAGAAGGTTGTTTTCGGCGGTTTCGCACCGCCAAAAACGCAAAATAGGCTTCCTTTGGGTTTATTGCCACTACTTGAGCTCCGCTTTGCTTCGCGTTCTGACAAGGAATAAACGCAAAGAAGGCTGTTTTCGGCGGTTTCGCACCGCCAAAAACGCAAAATAGGCTTCCTTTGGGTTTATTGCCACCTACTTGAACTCCGCTTTGCTTCCCGTTCTGACAAGGAATAAACGCAAAGAAGGCTGTTTTCGGTGGTTTCGCACCACCAAAAACGCAAAATAGGCTTCCTTTGGGCTTATTGCCATCTACTTGAATTCCGCTTTGCTTCCCGTTCTGACAAGGAATAAACGCCAAGAAGGCTGTTTTCGGTGGTTTCGCACCGCCAAAAACGCAAAATAGGCTTCCTTTGGGTTTATTGCCTTGAAAGTCGACTTGCGTCCCGCTCTGACAAGGAATAAACGCCAAGAAGGCTGTTTTCGGTGGTTTCGCACCGCCAAAAACGCAAAATAGGCTTCCTTTGGGTTTATTGCCTTGAAAGTCGACTTGCGTCCCGCTCTGACAAGGAATAAACGCCAAGAAGGCTGTTTTCGGTGGTTTCGCACCGCCAAAAACGCAAAATAGGCTTCCTTTGGGTTTATTGCCTTGAAAGTCGACTTGCGTCCCGCTCTGACAAGGAATAAACGCCAAGAAGGCTGTTTTCGGTGGTTTCGCACCGCCAAAAACGCAAAATAGGCTTCCTTTGGGTTTATTGCCTTGAAAGTCGACTTGCGTCCCGCTCTGACAAGGAATAAACGCCAAGAAGGCTGTTTTCGGTGGTTTCGCACCGCCAAAAACGCAAAATAGGCTTCCTTTGGGTTTATTGCCTTGAAAGTCGACTTGCGTCCCGCTCTGACAAGGAATAAACGCAAAGAGCCAAAAACGCAAAATAGCCTTCCTTGGTGGGTTTATTGCCAGCCAAAAACGCAAAATAGCCTTCCTTTCTTGAAACCCGATGCCACCAACTTGAAACCCGATCGCCAACTCAACATAGGCAAGAATCTGTACTTCATGATGTCCACTTTGAAGGTCCAATCGGCTGCGAGATAAATCCCATCTAATCTGCCAGATTGCTTCAGTCGCACCAGCTCAAGCATGAATGGCGTGAGAACCGCTGCCCAGCAAAACAGGTTGAGAGTCCACCGCTCAAGATGGAGAGGCTTGCTGTCCACACTGGCCCATCTTTCGGCTTCTTCGGAAAAATCCGACTCGCTGGCACGGAATGCAGCAGTGCAACTGCCATGCTGCTCTCGTCTCCAGCGAAGAACGGACCGAACTTGAATCTGTATCACTGCTGTTGGTGTAGCCTGCATGTAATCTGTGGCTGCATGAATGC